CTCTGCGGAAAGAAGGTGGGAGGCAGGGACTGAACCGACGGGCCTAGGGTCGGAGCGCCAGGTAGGGGGCCCAAATCCGGGAGGGAAGATGGGGCTGCCTCCAGGACGCTTGGAGATCCCTGGCGGCCACCCCCGGATTTTCCCGGGCTGCGAGGCGGGGATCCTCCCCAGCTCGGGTTTTCCGCAGCGGAGCTCCGAGCCAGGGACGAGCGGCAGAAGCCAGAGTTGGCCGGGCCTGCGGGCGGAGACTAAGGAGGGGGGCGCGGGCTGCTCCCTGAAGCATCCTGGGCTGCGGGGCTCCGGCCGCCTGCGCCCTCTTCGCCAGCTTGCGGGTCCCGGGGCTCGGGAGTTGTGGGGCCCCCGGCAGCGGAGTCTCCAGGGGTCCCGCTGGAGCTCGACCTCACCCCCGCACGTGGCTATACGGTAGTAAAGGAGGGAGGGGACACTCAGCCGCCCGGGTCCGCTGGGGTCGCTCGCGGGCCCCACCTCCCCCCTGCTGCGCTTCCTGTACCGCAGCGGAGGAAGGAGGGGGTGTCGAGGATTCCAGCCTCTTCCTGCCCGCCCCCTCCTTCCAGATCTCTTCAGTCAGCACTGAAGCTGCAGCAAGAGAGACTTGAGCTAGACTCCGAGAAGACCGCTCTCACCAAGACCAGTGGCAGACTTTGCCCAGGATTTCTTTAAACTCCGCGAAGAAAAGGCCTCCCCCTCATCCAGCGGCCGGCCTACAGGGAGACAGGGGGCTGCGGGTGCCGGGCGCCAGGTCTTGCCGGGTGAGCTCCTCTCCTGGCTCTCCCGCTGGCTTGGGCAAGGCTGTTCCCCCAGGTTGCAGCGTTTCCAATTCGAGCTCCTCGGGATGAATCATCCCCCTTTCCCGCCGCCTGGCCTCCTTTGAGGCCTCCTCCGCCCGAGGCCTTAGTGGCCCGTGTCCCGGCCGGAGCAGCACCGCCCCTGCACCTCAGGCTGCCCCAGGGTCCGGGCCGCCCGATTTAAGCTCCTCCCGACTGCTAGTCTGGATCTGGACTAGACAGGAGTAGCCGGGCTACGTGTGGTGTGGCCCCTACAGAAAGGAGGGTGGGAGGAAACGGGGCCCCGGCCCAGGTGCCCCGAGCCGCAGGAGAGGACGGTTAGGACCTCACTGCCCAGTGGTGCTTCCTCACTGCCCCAGTCTGGTTTTTGAACAGCTCCCGCGCTGGAACCCGTAGCCGAGGTCCCAGGAAGGAGGCTTTGTTACCCTACTCACTCCCCACCCACACCCCCGAAACTCAAAGCAGGACACCCCATCCCTACCTCCAGCAGGAACGCTGAAAGCCGAGGGCCTAACACGGAGCCCCAGAGTCTACCGCGTCCAAAGCCTGGTGTTCACAGAGGGAAAATGCGGCCAGGGAAGGCAGAGGGGCCTGCTGGGGTCACAGGCCACACAGGAAGGGGCTCCACGAGGACCCAACGCTGGGCACTTATCGGCACAGCCCAGGGAATGTCCTGGGAGGATGCGAGGCCCGTTCCCCTCTTGTCTCTGAGTGTGGAGCCCTTTCCTCAGCCCCAAACTGGAGAAATGACCAGCTCACCCCAGGCCAGAGCTGGCGCCCAGGCTCCAGCCCCAGAAAGGTCATCCCTGAGCCCCCGCGGGCCCCGGCGGGGAGGAAAGCGGAGGCGTAATGAGAGATGGGGACGTGCTCAGACCCCGAGACTCTGGAGGGCATCAATCCATGCTGGGGAGCCTATGGAGGCAGAAACTTGGAGACACACTCCAAAGGTCTCATGTCGCTGGAAGTTGCTCGGGGCCGGGTCCCCGGCACTTTGGGGTCCCGCCTCCCCGCGCGTCCACACTCCGGCCCCAGGAAAAAGGACGACCCAGCTCCCGCCTCCCGGGGCCTTTCCAGAGGGAGGGGCCAAGCAAAAAGTTGGGGAAAGTGGAAAGCAAACCCCAGGCCCCAAGAGTTGCTCACCTGAGGCCGCCGCACCCGGGTATGTCCGGGTCCGAATCCGCGCGCCGCGGCTAGCGGCACTGCCGCTGTCTCCGTGGAATCTTGGCCCCGGCCCCGCCCCCTGTCTTGTCCCCGCCCAGCGCCGCCCAGCCCCGCCCCCTGGGAGCCCCGGGGACAGTCTGGCCAGAACCCCGCCAGGCCTCACCGCTGGAACAAGGCAGCGACCCAAGTCTGAGGTTAGCAGGTAAGCCCTATGTGCCTGACCTGTGACTCGGAGGACCCGGGCGCCCGAGTCCCTGGCTAACGTCGTTCAGAAGGCCTGGGAGGGAGCCCTCTTCCCGCGTGGGGAAACTGAGATCCCGAGCCCGAGAGTTCCCTGCCCAGACTCGTAGCCTGAGCGAGTGGACAGAATTCGAAACCCTCACTTTTTGCCCTGTCTCTCAGGGTCCCTCGTTCCAGGCACCTGGAGAGGACTCTGGGGGACATCTGAGAACCCACAGATGCTGAGCTCCGTCCCAAGAGCTTCCCGGAGGAGGCGGCCCGAGTTCTTGCTCCGCCCAACCCCACAGCCCTCCCTCTATATGAAACTCAGTCCTTCACCTGTAAAATGGGCATAATGGTGTCTCCCTCTCATGATGCTGAGAGGTGAAAATCCAGCATTGAGGGCGGGACACACAACATGGGGCGCAGCCCAGGGTAACCTCGCGAGCGCTCAAAGAAGAGTAATCACTTGAGGGATGGGTAAATGGAGATAAACCCTGTTCTCAGAGCTCAGTGAATCAAATGGAGTGTCCCGAGTCCTGCCGGCCTCCCTAACCTCCTCGAGGAAGATGCGCCCAAACTGGAGTGGGGAGGCGGTGTTTGCCCGAAATCTGGGGGAGGTTTCGGAAGGCTTCAGTGTCCCCCGCCGACGGGCCTGAAGGGGGCGGCCCAGCTTTCGTTCCCCGCCCGCCCCCAGAGGCAAGAATGTGGAGCGGAGTGAGGGGGGTCGGCCGGCGGCCCAGTTTCCATGATGCTGGGGGCGGGCTCCGAGGAGGAGGAGTGGCGGTGCGGGCGGATTGCCAGGCTCCGCGTCCGCCCCCCTCATTCCCGCGGCCCGGCCAGGCCCCTCGGGAGGAATTTCCGGCCTGGGTTTGATTATAACCCGCCCCTCCCCCGGCCGCGGAGACCACCCCCTCCCGAAGCCCCCGCACGCGGGGAGCGAGGGGAGGGGGATGGGCGGTAATGAGACCCGGCTGTGCGCCCCAGGCGGGGAGGGGGAACTCGAGGAAGTCGCTGGCCTGGGCCACGCCACCCCGCAACGCGTGGCGAGCCGGGTCCCGGAGCCACACTGCTCAGCTATGCCTCGAACCCAGGCTCCGGCCCTCTGGTTCGGCCGAGACCTGGGGTGGCATCAGCGCCCACGGGAGCCCCTCTCCCATCCCCCTGGCGACCAGGCATCCTTGGGAGCGACCGAGGCCACCCCTAGGGGCGGGGCCTCCTCCGGTGGGCCGACCGCTAGGATGCCGGTGTCCCCAGGAGGCCACAGTGGGTGGGGCCGAGCCTCGGCTGCCGGGGCCTCACCCCTTCGAGTCGGAGAGCGAGGCCACCCCGCGATCGCCTTCTGCTCGCCCGCCTGGGACGCAAGGCTTCCACTCTCTAAGCTCGTGTCTAGGCTACTGCCTGCGCTCTATTAAGGTAGTAGCCTCCTTCCTGCCCCCTACCCCCATTCAACGCCCTGCACTTCGTCCACTACCCCCAGATGGACCCTTCTCCGCCCTCAGCGTTTCCCCAACGCCCCATCCCACACCGGTGCCCCTCCCCGCTCACTGCTCTAACTGGGGACACCAACTCTAGAGGCCAGAGCCTGGACAGTCTCCCGTCCTTGTCCACCTGCCCTGTTGTTTACCACTTGCTCTTCCTGCCTGTCCCTCCCGGCTTCCTCAGTCCTCAGCCCTCTGCCGGGTGTTGGGGCTCCTCCAGCCTGGGTCCACAAGGCGAGATGCTCTTCCAGCAGCCAGACAGCTCCCTGGGCCCGGTGATCAGCCCCATTCCTGCTCCTTCAGTTCCCCTCACTTTGTGAATGGCCCTGCCTCCCACCCTAAGGCCAACTACACAAGGGGTCACCTTAGGCTCCTTCCTTTCCTGGGTCCATCTAATCCATCAAGTCCGATGGACCCTGCTCTTGGGATCTCAAATTAGCCACTTTTTACTTTTTCCCTGCCCCAGGGCCGCTGTCCTGCGGGAGGGCACCAAGCATCTTTCTACACAGAAACTGAACCCATCACTCATCCCTGCTTAAAACCCTCAAAGGGTCCCCAGTGTTGTCCAAGTGGAGTTTAAAATCCCTTCTTATTTCCACAAACTGGCCCTGTCCCCCTCACACTCCTCCTTCCTGGAGGGATTTGATCCCATTGCCTAATCCTCTGTGCTCTGGCTTGACACCTGCCTTACCTCCTGTCGGGAACACCTACTCCCTGCTCATCCCCTTGCCTCCTGTTCATCCTTCAGACTTTCTCTGGACTTCCTCGGGGCCCCCAGGCCAGGCCAGCCCCTGCCCTACCCTTCTGTGACACACCCCATGAGCCTCCCTGCAGCAGCACAGTGCACAGGTGAACTGAAATCAGTGTGTTTCCTGTCTGTGTCCCCCGGGGCCATGAGCACTGAGGGCCAGGATGGGACCTGTCTTACTTATCCATGGAGTCCTATGCCCAGCCCAACCCCCAGACCCCCTTCTGATCCCTGCACTGGGGCTCCAGCCTGGACAGTCTCCCGTCTGCAACAGCAGATTAAAAAGGACTCAGCTTTCTGTATCCCCATATATAAAAAACGGCAGGTAATACTTACCTCTCAGTGTTGTTTTGAAGATAAGAGGACACGTGGTCAGCATCTGCCACAATGTCCACTGAACAGACACTCCCTCCTCTGACCATGGGTGTCAGGCCCAGAGGGCCCTGGTTGTTGGGGTGATGGAGGAGAGAAGGGTCCCCCTTCCTAGATATAACCCTTTTTAATTCCCTTGAGGGCTCTGGGAGGTCAGTGTCATACCCAGTTTACAGATGAGGAAACTGGCTGAGAGGGCAGAGACCTGCCCACAGACCCTCCTCAGAGAGACGTCTGCCCGTGGTTTGACCCTGAGGATGTGCAGATGTGTAGCCAGCTGGCCTCAATACTGGGACATTGATTTCTTCCTGATTGTACCCTGGCCTCTGTGTGAACTGGACCACTTCACTTCTAAACCAGGAGGGACCTGGATGAAATGTCCCCTAGGGACCAGGGTGGTCAGTATTTTGCCCCAAAGCTTCTCTGTGAAGGCAGGGAACCAGACCCAGTGACCCTGGGTCCCTGCTTAACTGAGGCTCCATGTCCTTTCCAGAAGCCACCATGGGGAGGGAGCAGCTGTCATCTCCTGCAAGTCACAGCCTCACCCTGGGGCCACAGAACAGCAGGCCTGGGAATCCATGTTCTCTCATCTCCACTTTAGGAACAGCCAAGGTGGCCAGGGCTGGGGTGCCCTGGATTTCCTGCCTGAGCCCCAGGGGTTTCTAAAACCATCAGAGCCCTGTGCCAGTGGGGCTCCGCCCAGTGGGACCACAACCTCAACTAAGAATTCAGAACCCGGGTTCAGAGGGGAGTGCCTGGCTCTGAATCCCAGGTTTGCTTCTGCTGTGCAGTCATTTGCTGGGCGCCTTGGGGCCCAGCACAGCACTCCCTCACAGCCGCTGCCCGTGACTGGTGCTTCCAGGAAGGACTGGTGTGCCAGTTCAGCGAGAACTGACGGGCAAGTAGAATCTAGAAGCCCAGTCCCAAAGCCCTGTTTCACCAGGATGGAAACCAGTGGCCCGAGAGGTTTCCATCCTCGACCAGGGTGGCCCCGTTGGTAAATAGCAGAGCTGGGCCTCAAGCCCCACTGTCACAAGATCCCTTTGGGGCTCAGGCCCTCAGACGATTCTGGGATGTGAACCCCAAATCTATCTCTTCCCACCCTGTGGAAGCTCTGAGCTGGCCAAGTGGGCTTCTCACGGGGTGTTTCTGGGCCATGGGCAAGGGGAGAGTGAGTTCCCTGTCTCCACTGCAGAGAAGAACCCGGGCGACACTGGGAGGGCAAGGAGATGAGACCCTCCTGGGGAACAGGGCAAAGCCAGCCTCCCACCTGGGTCCCTCAGCAGAGGGATAACAGTAGGAATGTCACCATGGCACCGAGCTGCCTCTGGCTACCAGGCCCTTTATATACATTACCTTCTTAAATGTGCAAGACAGCCGTGAGATTGAGGTGCCACTGTTGCCCCATGTCACATGCACAGAGACTGGGGTTCAGGGAGGTTCAGGCTTGCCTGTGGTCACACAGCTGGTCAGTGGCAGAGCCAGGGATATAACCGGCTTTTAACCATGATGCTACACTGCCTCCCACTAGTCCTGTGGCCGTGGCCAAGTCAGCTCCCCTCTTTATGCCTCTGTTCCTCCTCTGCAAATGGGGGCAATGGTAGTAACAACTTCTGTGGGCAGTAATAAGGATGGAGCCCTGCACTAGGGTTTTTCTGGCCTTTAGCTGTTCTTGTGCCTATAAAGTGTGAAGTCGAGGCTAGTAATCTTAGCTCTTTAGTCACCTCCTCTGGGCTGGCAGTTGGGGACCAGAGAGGATTCAGCCCTGGGCCCCATCCAGATGCTTCAGAGGTTGGGGGAAACAGACCCACCCGCCAAAAGCCGAGGAAGCAGCAGCTGACTCCATGCTGGGGACAGGCAGCAGGGAGGACTTCATGGAGGAGGGGGCATTCCTGCTGAATCTCAGGATCAGAATAGTTTTCCAGGCTGCAGAGTGGGAAGATATCCCAGGCAGCAGGGACAGTGTGCAGACAGCCTGGAGGCATGAACATGGGGTCAGGTGGTAAAGGGGGAGTGGGGGATGAGATGAAAGGGGGTCAGAGCTGCATTGCAGAGCATCTCAAACATGAGACTCAGGATCTGGGGCTCAATTCCTTGCACTGAAAGCCATGGAAGGTTTTAAAGCAGAGGAGTGGCTCGATCCATATATATCTGGAGAAGGACTTTACAGTGTGTTAGCACGGCACCTGGAATTGTTTCTCTGAGAGCACATGAGAGCAATGGCAAGATGTTGAGATCCAGGCTGACCCAGGAGCAGGCATAGGGTTGTAGGAGCAAGTACAGAGGAAACTTACCACTTGCCAAGGGAGATGAGGCCCCTGGCGGCCATGGGAAGAAGGATCTCTAGGCAGCAGTCCCCTACCTCCCATGTCCTGTGGTTCCATCCCCAAAGCCAGCTGCTTTGGCCACTTCCCACCCTGACCTCTCCCAGGTCGCTTGCTTTCCCCTTGTCCTGGTCCCTTGGGACCCTCCTTACCTCCTCTTTCAGAGACAGGAATGAAGGAAGATAGAGAAGGAAGTGATTTAGATCAGAGCCCAAAGTTAGGAGTCCGAAGCTGAGGCTTGAATAGTGGCCTGGGGAGATCATTCTGTCTTCCTGAGCCTCCCTTTTCACTCTCTGTAAA